ATGGGGTGCTGGATTCCTGCTCCAGCTTTGTACCCCAGACCTCATGTCTCTGGAAATACTGCCTGTGTTAGGGGATGGACTTTAAGCATTCATCTTCATTTATGCTATTATGAAACAAAAGGACTACTGTTAAGTGCTGTCAAAAGCCCGAAAATCATGAGATGTAAAGTGTGTGCCTTTATGAGCAAGAACAGACCCTCACCTGATCGTACTCCCCCGGGAAAGGAGAGCCCCTGCTCTCAGCTGGTATTCTTCTGCCCCAGGAAACCTCCACTTTGGTCTTTCCAAAGTCCTTTCCCTCCATTATCAAACCTCATATGGGCCAATGTGACTTCGTTCTCTCACTGCAGAAACCAATGGCTTTGTAACCCCACACCACTGTTCGGTTAAAAAGCAAACACTGCTCCTATGCCTGAGACAAAGCAGAGCATTACTGCAGAGCTGCTGATCACCAAGGGGTTTTTGTGTGCAAGAGGTTGTGGCCTGTTGAAAAAAAATCCCTCATTGCCACATCCAAATGTGGTTAGCCAGCACAGGCCAAAAAAACCTAATAAAAATCTGAGGCCTAAGGGAGAATCTAAGAACAGTTCATCAGCTCTGGATGCTCCAGTGAGATTGTTTCTCACAGCAATTAGCAGACAAGATGTTAATGGTGCCAGTCTGGTTTAAAGCATTAGAGCTTTGGAGGTGAGAAGTGTCCAGATTGGTTTGGAGCAGAGGTTTGTTGTTCTGGTCTGACCACAGAGAGAGGCAGCAGCGGCAAGGCAGAGAGGGACACACTTGTCGGGTCTGGATCGATATCGCTTTCATAGCAGGTGGTTACTTTATCTGTTTGGGTTTTTTTTCCTTTTGGCAGGAATTTTATACAAGTCACATTGTGTGAAGTACGAGATGGGGGAATGATGCACTTCCAGCCATGGATGCATCGCTGAGGTCCTAATCCAAATGCCAGCCTTCACCTGGCATTTTTAGCAACATCCTGACAGAAGGCTCAGGGGCGCCACTCAAAAAAATGCATAATGAAAAAATTAAGTACTGGATGGCTTAGACTGAGGCCAGTTAATTAACCCTTTGAATGCTGAAATGTCTTGAACTGTAGTTTGTCATTTGTCTTAATCATTATTGCATGACTGGTTTTTAATACCATTAGGCAACAGTATCGATTTTTTTTAAGAGGTGGCATCACATGCAGTTTGCTCCTTGTTTTTTCTTGGTGAGTTACATGTGGTGAGTCTTTATAGGGGGTATTTCAGGTTGTCTTTAAGATGATGTAGTTAATTTACAGCTGTCAGGTGTATTAAGCAAAAATTAGGACATTATACTGCATTATACAGCCTGTGTCCTAAAAAAGGAGCGGAGGTTGGAATCTTTTTTTCCATGTTGTATTTGAAAAGAAAGCTCTTCTTGGCCTTTAAAAAACTCTTATTGACCTTTCTTCCCCCAGGCATTTCCCAGGTCTCTGGCTGCTGCCCTACACTCTTCCCCTGATGTTACAGCCGGTCACAGTTCCCTCTCATGCACCCCGTGGCTGCCTGGTCACAGTTCCCTCTCATGCACCCCGTGGCTGCCTGTTCCCTCTTTAAATAGTTTATTGGCAACTGCTCATGCCCTCGCCCTGCAGCCCTGGGATCTCATGGTTCCCCTCTTATCTCAGGCCCTTCAGCAATACTGAAACCCATCGGGGAAGTTCCATCAATAACTGCAGGACAAATGGCATGTAGGTCCATCCAAAGACAAAGCAGTGGCTCCAAGAACAGAAATCTGCTAATGCATAAGTAGAAACCATTTTGTGTCATGGACTGGCTTAAAAATGGAAGTTGTGGACTGACCAGGGAAAAGGTGAGTCATCCTTCCTGTACTGGTGAAGAGAAGGGGAAAAGGTGACTCATCCTTCCTGTACTGGTTTTAGTGTTGGTTGGGGGTTTTTTTCCAGTTTGCTGCTTTTGTTCTCACTGGAGGTGGATGGAAAACTTCTTGACAGGAATTAGAAAATAAATCTGTGCTGGGTTCATAGTCTGGAAAAGGGCTTGTTGAAGCTGCTTTAAAAACCAGCACTATAGAAATGTTAGTAATTAGCTATGCTCTTTCATAAACAGTGTAAAACATGACTAAAGTGTCTGGGTGTCCTTGAAAAAAGCAGCAGGACATGGAGGTAATTCCCACTGCAGTGATCCCTGCAAAGCAGAGAAGGGATGGGAAGTCCAAGGGTTCGAGGAGCTGATTGCCTTGGTCAAGGAGGCTGCTCTGACATCTGCAGGCAAGGGTAGGTGCTTAACTGTATGGCTCATCCCAGTGGAGTGGTGTCTGGGAAAATTAATGCATAATTATGGATTCTGGTCATGTTACTGTAAAGGTTAAGACAATCCAGAGCACCTCTAAAAGTGCTGTCGAACCTCCATCTTGGAGACATTCAAAACTGCTGCTCCAGGCCTCAAGCAACCTGATTTAAGCAGAGTTTTGGACCAGATGTCCTTTCCAAACCCTGCTATCTTATGAGTTGACCACTTTTGCCACTACATTTAGCCCAAGGCCACCAGATTCCTGGAAAAGCAGACCATATTAACAACTAAATACTGACCAGGACAGTTAAAGATTGTTGGTGAAGCTGTGGGAAGATACTAAGAGAGTCTAGAAACAGAATGCAAGTTATTACAAAGGTGATGAGGGAAAAAAACAGGAGTCAAACTATTCCCAAGAAACTTTTTTCCTTTACAAACAGCATGAAATAAATGCTGCTCAGAAAAAAAAAAAAAAAAAGAAAAAAGAAAAAAGAAAATAGAAGAAGCTTGCTGTTTCAAACTTCTCCTCTTTGCTTTAAGACACCCAGTGTTAAGGGTAGCAAGTGGATAGACTGAGCACTTAGAAAAACTGGTAAAAGAGAATCTTGAGCAATCAAGAGTGGGCTCTGTGGTGAATAAACCTAAGGATACTTCGAATTTGTGAGGATCCTGAAATAAAAGTCTGAGGATTTTTCTTTAGCCTGCTACTGAGAGAGAAGCTGTGTTATTTTAGAAATTGGTGCAGAGATTGTGACATTTATCACACATCCAGGAAGACGGAAATTAAGTTTGAAGATGCTCTCCTGACTGAAGTCCATAAGGACAGATGTTTAAGGGATTAATACCACTCCATATGGCAGAGGGTCTCCTGCAGGATTACCAAGAAAAAGCAGTAACCAACTTCCCTCCCTCTGGCTGGCTGCTTCCTGCAAACCGCCATACTGCTCCTTTTGAACCAGGCAGGAGTTTTGACACTGAACCATTTAAGTGCTGTTGGGTGAACCTCCTGCGAGCCTTTGATTAGAGCAATGCAGTGCTCGTTAGATTGACTTGTTTTAACGTGTTTCCAATGCAGGAGAAAAGACAAATAATTAGAAGTAAACTCTGTGTTGCTGTTTCAGAAATTATGGCCCATCATTGTTTTGACAGTCTCTAAACAATGGCATAAATGGGCTGAGTAATGTGACCAAGCGTCTAGAAAAGCCTTATTCCAGAAAACAAAGATAGTAAATCACATGATGCCCCGTGAGATGGGTTGTTTTGCCAAATTAGTGCTTCAGGGGAAGCCAGAACACTTTCAGTAACTGGGATATTTCTTCATCAGTTTCAGACAAATTCAGGGTCACCACCGCCCCTTCTTCCCCACCTCCCACTTTGCTATTGTAATTTTTAATTGGTGGTATATATCAAAGGCTGGTGGTTATCTGTGTTTGCTGCCAGAGTAGCCTATTTTTTCCCTTTTTAAAGTGCTTAAAAAGCACTCTTGGGGGGGATGGGAAGCCTTTGGTGCCTCTTTTAACACCAGCAGACAATCCTGTAGAGTGAAATGCAGGCATTAAGAACCACGTAAGAGTAAAACATCACCAGGACAACCTTTCAATGTGTGTTGAATTTAAACCATTGATGATGCCCCACCCTAAGGTACAATTCTCTGTTTTGTACCATGTAAGATGGAGGACCAAAACACCAAGAAACTCAATAAGGACAATTTTTTTTTGGCATGACAATGCAACACAGAGCCTTTTGCATTGTGCCTCTAGCACTAGTGTTCAAAAGGGCCATGTGAGTTTCTGAGAAGATGTGGCTTTTTTGTGTGTTGGCAACTGGCTTACACTGATGTCCTGAATTTGTTCACCTTTGTCTAGGTATTAGCATCCGTGTTGTCTGGCAAAAACTGCCTGCTCTGACTGTGACAGCCTCGTACTGTGCATTGGAGCCTTGTGTGTTAGAGGCAAACGATCACCTACAACAAGCCCAAGGTGGATCAACCAGCTTATGCTACCTGCAAAGTTTTAAAAGACGTGATTTTGTCCTCCTTACCATGCAGAGAGATTTGTCATATAATTAATTATACAATTCAGTGCTGCTTCAGTATCCTCATAAACATGATCGCTTAGGCCAGATCAAGACTGGAGCACTGTTTTATTGCATATAATAACTCTACACTAACACAGCTAAAAAAATGTGACTTTTTCCATTGGGAAGGATTTCTTTTATTGAGACCTTCCTATAAATGTCTGATTCTGTTTCTCCATGACAGCCTAAGCTCTCTATTCCAGCTGCTGTCTTCTATGGAATGTGGCTAATAATAGCACCAGTAACAGCTGGACGATTAATTCCTTAACGACTGTTAAATGCTCTGGTATGAACAGAAGAGGGTTTCACCGTGTATTTCTCCTTGGTGTTTCTAGGTTGAATATGTTGTTCCTTGAAAGCAGCTGACTTCTGAATAGAAACAGAAACGGAAATTTTGTGGTCTATCTATCCCCTTCCCCTATTCATTTTGTAATAAGGCAAGGACTACTATGAAATATCTTAATTTTAATCCTGGATGACAGAATTTTGGATACAGGGCACATAATTTACAGGTTTTTCCAATGGTAGGCTGAGCAGGATTGGACAAAGACCATCAGTGCCACACAGGACCCTGTCCTGTCGTGAGCTGCCAGGGGCATTTTCATCTGCCCCAGACAAATCAGAGTGTGGAGAGACCTTTGGTTACCAACCTGCCTGCGCCTATAGGTGCCCATGGTTATGAACCATGGAGTGGGCTCATGCAGTTTCAAAAAGTCTGAGAGACAGAGTTTTTCTTGGCTGTTCAGGCTACCATGAGGATATTTAGAGGTTAACTGGCCATGCAGACATATTTGCAAGCATCTAAAAGTCCGGTCTGATTTCTTTATATTTAAATATAATAGGAAAATGAGGTACCATTGTCATGAAATCAGTATTTGACAAAAAATAACGAATGGAAAAAGAAGGAAACATTATAAGAAATGCATAACTTAATATATACACATCCTCAGACCGCAATACACCATTGAATCCTGACTTGCTTCCATGGTTTGAAGATTATACCTACAGATGCCACACTAAACCCAATTAGCTGTTTAGCCATTTGAAGTCCTGAGTTCACGCTGCTCCCATCCAGCCATTCCTTTTAGTGTCTGCCTGCTTTCCCAGCAAATGAACATGTGATTCATGTTGAGAAAGAAGCAGCATGGGAAACGTTCAAGCTCCGCTGTTGTGGGAATTACCCCATGTGGATGGCTGCATCTGGGCTGGGAGCTGCAGAAAGAAGAAAACCTCTTCTGTACATGTCTCTGTTATAATTTATATAAATAATTTATATTGCTCTGGCAAAAAGCATCCCTGCTGAAGCTCCAGACACACATGTGCAGTGGATGAGCAGAACATGGTGACAGTGGGACAAGCTGCAGCCAGTGATGAGAGTCCAAGAGATGAGGCCAAACCTGCTCCACAATGGGAGCTTTGCTCAGATGTTCTCCTGGTGGGTTTCAGTGGTGAGCAGCTGGGTGTTTCACAGTGTGTCCCAGCTACAGGTCTGCTCATTTTAGTGTCCCTGAAGGCTGGAATCCTCTGTGACAAAGCTGCTGGCAGTGGTGAGTGGGAAGGGTCCGCTTGAGTTTCAGGTTTGTCCTGGAGCTTCCCTCCTCTCCGCCAGCCTTGTGATGGGCTGCTCTTGGGATAGGGAGCTCGGCTCTGGGTCCCGCAGCAGCTCTCCCAGGACGGCCAGGACTTCTTGCAGGCCCTGGCCGGTGTGGGCGCTGCACCCCTGGAGCATCCAGCGGTGCCCTGCCAGCCGCCCTCGCTGCAGCATCTCCCCCAGCTCAGAAGGAGCCAGTGCTCCTGGCACCTCCTGCTTGTTGGCCAGGAGGAGGACGGGGATGCCAGCCATGCTGGGGTGGCTCAGGGTTTCCTCCAGTGCTGCTGCCGCTTCAGACAGCCGAGCCGTGTCTGTGCTGTCGATCACAAAGACGAGGGTGTTGATGTCCTCCAGGTAGTCAGGCCAGCTTGCCCGCAGGCTGTCTTGTCCACCAACATCCCAGAGGGTGAAGGATATGCCACAGGGTGTTTGCAGAGACTCCACGTTGAAGCCCACTGTCGGACAGGTCTCCACAGCCTGGCCGCTCTTCAGTTTGTAGAGAAGGGTGGATTTGCCAGCAAAGTTGAGCCCCAGCATGACAACTTGAGCATCTCTTTTTTTCCAGCCTTTGGAGATCAGCTTCCCCATCAAGATACTGCCGCAACTGTGGCAAACAAAAAAAAAAAGCAGCCAAAAAAATAAAAAGCAATGTATTTCCTCGATGATGTCAGTTAATAACAGAGTGCTCTGTCCTGCCTCTCTGAAAGAGCACCTTAGGTTTGCTGAAGAAAGACACAGGCAGCTTGCTTTTGCTTCTCTCTGCAGCTAAAATTAAGTGAGAAGTATTATTTATGAGGTGTGGAGCAGAGCCAGGGAGTGATGTTGAAAACAGCAGTTTCTATACCCCAGCTCCGCTGCCGCTCAATTCCGTTTTCATTCATGACCTGAACTGATTGGTGCAAAAGAGAGCTAACATTTTGCAGGAAGAGGTGGAGAGACAGTGGAGTGAGTTTCCTCCTCACCACATACATAAATAAATGAGCTGTTGTTCATTGGCTTCTCTAGGGGAAATCCACCCCTGCCAGGACAGGACGAGGAGGAACCCGGGTTTCAGACCAGGGTTCTCTGGGAATTTGCTGAATCACAGTTTGAGGGTGTGGATTTAAAGCATCTTGAGCAATAAGAAAACTGACAATTTTTCTGCCAATCTTATGTTAAAAAGTACGAAACAAATCTCTGTATCATTAGCTTTTACTACCTGTTGTGTGAGTGGTAATAATAGCAATTTTTAAAAACGCACACAAGCAGGTTTTTTAAATGTCCCATTGAAATATGGCTAATCAAAATGCCTTTTCTGGCATGAAAATCCGTAAAATTCTTTACATCAAAGTATTTACTACATTTTAACTTTTGTAAGTGAAGCAAAGTCATTCCTCTGTGGCTGAGAGGGTAAAAAATACCCCTTAAAAGAAGGGGAAACTGTTTAGCAAGCCAGCACCACTTGAACTTTACATGCCAGAAGCAAAAATGTGCTGATGTAACAGCTACCAGACTTGCCTGTGCAAGAGTGGCCAACAGAGTCCCAGCAAAGCCAGCAGTTACCTTCCTTATTGGTTGGGTTTTGCCTCTAAAAGGCTGCTCAGAGGTGTGCAGAACCAAAAGCAGCCGCAGACCTCATATCACAGCATTAACACAGAGCTGCCCTCTAGCCACCTTTATTTAAGAAGGAAATGTGATTCACCCCTGCTTCCCTGGGACCATGGAGGAACTTCCAGCGCCTCTGTGGGAGATGCAGTTTCCCCAGCAATAATCTCCACATGACAGCTCCTTGTCACAAGCCAGCATTGCTGGAGATGAAGTTCAGCACAGCAAGTGGAAGGAACTGTGGTCAGTGACCAGGTTGCTGGTGGTCACTGAGAGGTATATTTCTTCCTCTGGGGGCAAGATGTGTCAGGTTTTCACCTTTTAAAGGAAGGAAGATGAATGAGAAACAAAACAAACAAGGAGTCCAGCCCAGAGAGCCTGCATGGGATTGCAAGGGGTCCTACAGACCATGTCTTGCAAGATATTTCTGTGATACATGTCTCTCTCATAGTTAACCCACAGAGCTAGCTGGCACCAAGAGCCTCCATGAGCTTTATGCAACTTGTGCACGTGTAAGACATGTTGTTAGAACTGTAAGAGTCATAGAACACCAGGTTGGAAGGACCTTGAGGATCATCTGGTCCAACCCAACCTTTCATGGCAAAAGCACAGTCTGAAAAAAAGCTCAGCACCCTGTCCAGACAAATCTTAAAAGTGTCCAATGCTGGGGAAATCTACCACTTCCCTGGAGAGATTATTCCAATGGCTGATTGTTCTCATTGTGAAAAAGTGTCCTCTTGTGAACAATCGAAACTTCATGAAGAATAAATTGTACCCACGACTCCTCATCTTTTCTATGTGACTCCTTGCAAAAAAGGATTTTCTATCTTCTCTGTAGCCATCCTTTAAATATTGAAACATGGTGATAATGTCTCCACTAAGCCTTCTTTTCTCAAGGCTGAACAAACCCAGTTCTCTCAGCCTCTCCTCACATGTCAGGCTTCCCAGTCCTTTGATCACCTCAGTGGTCCTTCTCTGGGCTCTCTCCAGCCCGTCCACATCTATTTTGCATAGCAGGGACCAAAACTGAACACAGTATTCCAGGTGTGGCCTGACAAGCGCTGAGTAGAGTGGGACAATGTCTTCTTTATCTCTGCCGGGGATGCCGTTGGTGATGCACGGAGTCCAAACCGAGTCTCCATTTGAACTTCCATGAGTGACATTCTCCTCATCATGGCTTCCATTGCCACAGCAGCAAGTGCTCAATCCTATTGACCTGCTTGTCCACCAGCACCCTGAGGTCCCTTTCCACAGAACTACTCTCTAGCCAGGTAGATCCCAGCCTGTGCTGCACTCTTGGAATATACTTTCCCTGGTGCACGGTCTTATACTGGTCTTTGTTGAATTTCATGAGGTTCCTGCTAACCCACTCTTTCTTCCAGTCTGTCCAGGTCTTCCTGCAGGATGGCTTTCCCTTCCAAAATGCCCACTTCCCTGCTCAGTTTGGCATCATCAGCAAATCTCATGAGGGTACACTTGATCCCATCATCCAGATCACTGTCATCAGGCTCAAGGTTAACTCAAAAGCCAAGGCTTATTTACAGCATTTGTCACAGAGTAATCTAACAGTAGACATGCAACATCACACATGTGATAAATCGTACAGTGTACGTTCATGTGTGGTCTTCTCTAAAACCAGTCTATAAGTACAAAAATGGCAGGAAGCTCCCTAGATGGGAATAAAAATGTGCACTGGATTTTGGCCCTTCAGGGGACTGTTTGCACACCCTAAAGTGTGTGCTGCTGCCTGACAGTTATCCTTCTGTCCAAGTTCTTCATTTTTTAAAAAAAGTTATATTGTTGTGTGGCTCCTTATTCTGTTTGTTCACCATTTTGGGAAAATCTTCCTTCACATATTGCATTGTACTTTAAGATCAACGTGGTTGGTATTTTTAGACACACCAGTGGGTCGAGTGAACTGTTGCTTGATCTTTTTGTGTTTCTTCTGCCTTTGCTACTGCTCATCTTCTCTAAGACTTGATAGGTAGCTGTGACACAAACCTGTTTCATCTGACCAGACTTTCATAGTACTATAATTTATTTTAAGTAAACTAAAATATAGATACAGGAAGCAAGGGTGGAGATTCTACCATTCAATGAGCAACTGAGTATTTGAAATATGATGTGATGGAGTCTTGATTGCATCACTCTCTCACATGCTACAGAAGAAGGCTGCTTCTAAAAAAAAAAAGAACCAAGAAGAGAAGGGGAAAAAAAGAAATAAAGCCAGAAAAAAGGATGCAACAAGGGCACAGTTTTATTGATGATTTCCTTCAGGTTTTCTATGGCATAGAATACAGTAATTCATGGGCAAATACAGGAAACTCTATATTCCTTTTATTGTTTTCCATGCTTATACCCTGTGTATTGAACTGCAGCCTATTTTCTTTCTTCATGCCAATTATTCCAAATACAGGGTGCAAACTGTGCCTACAGAGTCTGTTTCACCCACAGGTATGTTACAAAAGCATAGTATTTCCACTAAATAATATATAGGAGCAAATGCAAATCTGCTTAAGAAAGAATGAAAGAAAAGACCGTAAAAGCAGACAAGATGAGTTTTGAGTGAGTCTATTGCTGGAGTAGAAAGGCCAAATTCTAAATTGTTCAGAAATTGTGTTCAGAGACAAGGACAACCCCTATCCCAGCTACGTTTTCCGTGGACAGAACAAATGTTTTTGTCTCATGTTTCATGTCTCCAGATTCTCAGGAGCAAATGCAGTGCTTACTAATTCCATTTATAGTGTCATAGAATTTCAGTCAATTTATTTCTTTGCTGTTTTTTATGCATACATTCCCTGTTTCCTAGATAATTATCACAAAGAGCAATAATTAGAATTAGTACTATAGGACACAATCCCTCCTCCTTCCTGTGCCTTAAATATTCCAGTAACTGGGATTTTGTCCTGATCACTATATTCACTGTCATTTTGTCCAACTTATGTCACTTCTTTAGAAGGCAGCTCCAGGAAGACAACCCTTAGCAGAGCCAGGATTAACAGGTGTAGACCTAGTCCTTACTGTGAGTGTTCCTCTAATGGCATCTACTTGGAGCAACAAGTAGATCTCAGCCCAGCAAAGGCAGAGCATGCCTCCCCATCCAGACGTGCTTGCATCTCTGAGAAAGGTCACCAACCAAGCCACAACTCACCCAGCCCTGCCCATGTTTCCTGCAGGATCTCCTCACTATATCATCTGTGGAAGGACCATCAATGGAGGGGATGTTCAGACTAGCAGCTGGTGAAGAAGCCTGCTGGGACTTGAAGGAGGCCCTGGATGCAGGTGGATGTCTTGACCTGGATAGCCCACCTGTCTCTGGCTGACAGTCATCTTGAAGCGGACTTCTTCTGAGTTTGGCCTGTGAGAGCTCCTTGCAGACCTGCAGGGGATCGCTGGATTTGACCTAGCAAGGACCCCAAGATAAAATCACAGAAAAGTCAAATGCGATGGTTCAAGCTTAGAGAAGTTTGACCTTTTTCTTTTCTGCATCCTGGTCCATTCCTCTTGTTTTGCCCCTCATTTCTGGCATGTCCACAGAAAACTCACCCAGTACTCTCCTGCTAACAGACTGGTTCACTTGGCATGTGCCCAGGAAGCTGCCTGTTCCATCAGGGTCAATGGGTAGCTGTGAGAGCCAGCAGCTGAAGGCAAGCTGCTTACTCCCGAGACAAATTCCCAGAGGCTTGAAAGATGGCTTAGCATAGTCTGAAGGCTACACAAGACTGCCACAGGCTTTAACATGCCCCAGAAAAGCTTGCCTGCAATGATGTCTCTTGACAAGATATGACTCAAAATTGTACCAATACCCAAAAGTTCAGAGCGACAAGATTCACACAACAAAACACACAGCAGACTTAAGCACCTGTCCTTCAGGTGCTCATCAAACACTCTGAGAGAGATGCTGGTACCTCCAGGGCATTCCTGGTGGGGTTGGAAATAGGACATTGTTCTCACAGCCCCACTCATCCTGTGGTCTTTGTTTTCCCCTTTGCTTCTCGGGACAAACATTTGATGAAGGAAAATGCTTTTTTGGTAGCATAACTGGCAGCTGATATGCTGTCAGCCGTGCAATTATCACAGTTAACTCTTCCCAGTAGGGAATGACTCTAGCTGGAAAGCACAAAAAGTCACCTACTATGCCCTCACTGATGCCATGTCACAGTTTTCCACGGAGAAAACTTGGCCCTTGTCTATTCTCAGTCCCCACCTGTTTGGCCTGCTCAGATCCCTGTGTTGAATGATGGCAGCCCATAGGACATAAACATGTGCACAGGTGTGAGGTCCTGCTCAACACAGCTGGGCCTGGATGTTCATTTGCTCTACATGTCAGAGCACCCTGCTGACAGTGAGATGGACAAACAGCAAGAGAAAAAATAGAGCTTGTGGTGCCTACCAGTTGCCCAAAGGTGTTTGGCCAGGAGTGTTTGGCTAAGCTCCAAGGAGAAGAGCTTACTTCTGAGCCCTGCTTTGCATAACAACCTCACAAGTTGCCCCTCACTTCATAGGTTTTGATTTGAAAACTACAGGACGTGAAATCTCACTGAAAGACCTTCCCTACACATGGCTATGGCCTCCAGCAGCCGCCTGCTTGTGATGAGTTCTGTGGCACGACAGCAGCTCAGCTCCTTCTGTGATTGGGCTCAGTGTTCAAGCAGGTTGAATGAACACAATGAGCTGTTCCTCACACCTGGAATTGTCAAGAGGGCCCAGGTCCAAACAGAGTCTTCATTTGAACTTCCATGAGTGACATTCTCTCAATTGTGACCAACCAGGGCTGCCTGAAACAGCATCAACCACAACATGGCATTGATTTGTCTGTCCTTAGACCTCCTGAAAAGACATGGTATGTGCTCCAGCGTATCTGGGAGAGGTCTGATGCTTTTTTTAGTGACCATTTCCCTGTTTTCAATTTCTATATGCTTCATACAGCTAGAACAGAAAGTTCTTGAGGAGATGTCAGGACCCTGAGAGCCTCAGACCAGTCCTTTTCTCAGGGAGATGCCTGATGCCTGGGGCTGGGCTGCCCCTGCATGACCCCCAACCTGCCTGCTCCCTGGCAAGGGACAGTGGGAAAGGTCCTGGCTGTCAGATCCTGCCATGACTCCCTTTTGGAAGCCTTCATTGCACTCTGACAGCGAGGTGGATGTGAAGAAATATGGCAAAGAGCAAAGATTTTTTTTTTCCTCACGTTCTCATCTCTTAGCTGGAAGGTGCTGCAACAGCTGGCAAGGAAAGGAGAAGTACTTCCCTTGTTTCAATTTCTGTTTGAATTACTATGTCTTCTGTATATGACTGTAGAATATTTTTCATAAATACTGTTACTCTAGTCTCTGAATTTATTATTTCCAAAGCTGGTTAGAATTTTACCAGGATGCAGGCCCTCTCTGTAGATTCATGTATTCAAGTGCTGCCCAAATTGTTTTATTTTTTTCCACATAAATTGGCAATGCTCTGTATTCTTCTGTCTATGCCACTTATGTCTTAAATTCACAGATTGCTTCACAGATTTCTTCCTCCTTGACCCCTAATATCTTAGCTTTATCTCCTCAGGGCAATTCAAAACTAAGCTTCTTTGGCATCCTTACCTATCCTGACACCATCACTCTCTTTCCTGAAACAACTCATTAGCTCTTCTTCTTACAGTTGGTCTCTATCCCAGCTAGGGTCATACACTCATCTATGCTACACGCTGCATACATGTCATTTTCACGTTAGAAACTAGTTAAAACACAGCTCTGACTATCTGGAAAGGCCTTAATGCCAATTCTTCGTTATTCATAATGTTTGTAGTGGGGAAAAAAAAAAAAGAGCAAAAAATGGGTACACTTACAAAAATATCCATGTTAGGCGTGCCAAAAAGAGGCTTTTATTCCATCCTCTCCCATATCCTACTATTTGCTCCTCCATTTGTGAAAGCCATGAAGCAAAGACTGGCTTTTTGCTTTTTAGTATTCCTTCGGCTGCTAGCAAGAGGAAGCCCTACAGAGACCATCTAATGATGCTTAACCATACTGACTACCTGCACTAAATATAATACAGGTAATACCTTATCTGTTACTTCTATGGGACGTAAAAGTTATACCTTGTAGGTATGCTGATGAAGTTCATCTCTCTAGATTAGTCTGGAGGAAATTCTGCTTTGCAATACACAAATCCAGTTCCCCTTAAGGCAGCGTTCCCTCATTCCAGTTCCACAGGCAGAAACAGTAATTAAAATGAAAACGTAAGCATGGACCTGAAAATGTGCTTTGCACAACTTGCCAGGCTCCAAAGCAACAGTGGAGTCTCACTCTCAGTGCTCCTCAAATTCAAGGGATGCAAGGTTTTATTTTATCATTTGTTTATAGTTTTTGTCTTAGCTTGCATGTTTAGGACATCTTATACCAATAAAGGAAATTGACTGAAAAGATACTGGAAATTATCAACGAGAATAAAAGCTACAAACTGATCTTTATTACATTTCTGTCTGGTAAAACAGATGAAAGCAAGAAAACCTCACGAAATTTCAGAAATTGCATTTTATCTGTTTGGCCACAGTGTGTCAATGTTTTCCCACACATTTCTCAATGGAGGAACCATCTGCAGTGGAATCAACTCCTGCCAAACAGATGTCAGAGTGCCAGCTTTGATTTAGGGCAGGACTTAGAGCCCTTGGGCCTTTAACACCCTTCTGCAGCTGGATCACTTTGAATGAGATTTTGCTGAACAACAGCTATATATAATTTTTCTGTATCCACAGGAAGATGATGGTAAGGACAGCAGAACAGAGATGGAATAAGATGCCAGTTCCATGCAGGTCACATTTAGCTCCAGATTGTTTTCACATCAGATGTAGCTGGCATCATATCCTAGGATTCTGCAGTTGGAGTGAACCAGTTCACAGACTGATGGAAAAAACAATGCTTAGGGAAGAAAGAAAAACTTCAAAGAATTTTCTTCCTTTAATATCCTTTAACAGGTCGCTGATGGTTGCCACCACGATTCTTCACTGTTTGTGGTCACTTACAGAGTTGCAGGTGCAAAACAGACCTTTTAATCTACAACTGACAACATTATAAATTCCCCTGAACTTGGATTTATCTATGACTTATGCACACCTTTGTGATCTTTGGTTTTGGCAATGCATCCTTAGGAATGAAACTGCAGATTCAGGTTGCTTTAGGGTTTGGAGTGTAACTCCATGCCATGCTATCATCCATTGTGAATCTCAAGTGTTCTCAGTCTGGTCACTAGAGAAAAGCACTTCATAGTCACCTGCTACAGTTATCAAAAGAGGTGTAAGCTGAGACTGTCAGTGTAAGAGAGAGGGTTCAGCATCTGAGCTAACCCACCAAAGTCAGCAACACACGTTATCTGTACACTGTCTTAGGCAACAATTCCTTTCGTTCTAAAAATCTTGTCTCTGAATAGCATTGCTTTGCCTGGTTGGCCTATTTAATTTAATGCTTTCATAACATTTCCAGTCGGTCATAACTTTCCCAAGATGGATATCAGGTTTCATAACCCTTTTCCTTCTAGAAAAAAAAAAGTTAGAGGAGGGTTACTTTTTGTTATTGCTGGCTTTTACAAAAAGCCACATTGAAAGAAAAAGAACTGAAACCAGTTATTTGCGAGATTATAAAATTACTTTTGCTCCACACAGAGCACTTTTTTAGCTGCTTCAACTGCTTGTAAAGCTCAGAGACAGTATAAACTGCCTGCAACCACTGTTTAGGGACTTATTGCACCCTAAAATTAGGGTGACAAGTAATTAGTGATAACTAATAAACGGAACACGAAGTTATGTGAATAAAAAAAAGACTGAGTGGGGGTTTGTGTTCTGGTACTTGTTAAAACAACTGGGTTTCTGCATATGGTAACTAAGCAGGGCTGTCCTACAAAACTAGGTAAGATCACAGCTCTGTTTACGCAGCTCCACATTTGCACCATTTCCTAGCAATGCAGGAAAGGCCGTAGTTCTTGACAGACAATTCCTTCGCAAAGCCACAAACACAAGCAGAAAACAACTGTTGTGTATGTTCCCTTTCTGGCTCTCTGGGGCTTCCCATGGAGGCTCTGATGACACTTGTCCACGTATCTTATTTCTGCCTTCTCTTTGTGTTGCTCCAGAATTTGCCCAACCTATTCAGCAGTACCTCCTTGGTGCCAGCAGCACAGTAAGCAGCAACTTGGCAGGAAAAATCTCTTTTTACCCCAGACCTACCACTGTGCTTTCCTTGCCTCGTATTCCAGGGCAGAATTTCTTCAGCATCACTGATTCCCTCTCACAGCAACCCATCCACACTTGATTCCTGGGTTACTGAAATTGATTTTTCTGTTCCCTTTTTTTTTTTAATTACAACTTTTTTTAACAGTTTTCTCCTAAATATACGACCCCCAAAAAGAGATTGATATGTCCAGGGGGCTCGACACTAGTGCTTTTTGTTTCAGATCAATCAGCTCCCCACTCGCTGCAGCCTCCAGCTGCCTTCTGACCCTTCCCACTGTTGGGAAAAAGAAGTAAATTTTGAGAAAAGTGGAAGCCATTTCCTGCTAACAACTTTGTGTTAACAAAAGATGTCTCTTGGGAAGGCTGGTGTCCAGTCTTCCCTTTCCTGGATCGTCCCACATAGCTCTGTCTCCTTGATCTGCAGGTGTTGAAACAGAGCAGTAAAGTGTCAGGCTCGTGCCAATGTAAGGTATAGGAGGTGTTTATATAGTGTTATATTAACACATCTGAATGAGGAGAAGTTGCTGTGTGACTGTGTTAGAAGACCCTTAGCCCTGTCTCTAGGATCCAGCTGGTCTCAGGCATTACAGGCACCAGCCTTAGGCACAACCAGCACAGATCCTGCCAAAGCTCTGCTGGGTTCTGTCGGCCTGTGGCCAGGGTAGGAAGCCCGGGAAGAACGCAGCCCCACCTCGCTTTTCCCTCGGCTTCGCACTAGCGAGGATGTAGGGGCAGACAGGTGCCATCAGTTTGGGAAGGGCATAGAGGTGCTGGAGCAGGTCCAGAGCAGGCAACGGAGCTGGTGAAGAGTCTGGAGCACGGTCCGATGAGGAGCTGCTGAGGGAGCTGGGGGTGTTCAGCCTGGAGCAGAGGAGGCTCAGGAGGACCTTATCACTTACTACAACTACCTGAAAGGAGGTTGTAGTTAGGTGGGGGTCGGCCTCTTCTCCCAAGTAATAAGTGGCAGGTTGAGAGGAAATGGCTTCAAGGTGTGTCGGGGGAGGTTTAGATTGGGTATTAGGAGGAACTTCTCCACAGACAGGCTGATTAGACACTGGAATGGCGGTGGAGTTACCGCCCCCGCAGGTGTTTAAGAATGTAGCACTCAGTGCCATGATCTAGTTGTCTCGGTGGTGCTCAGTCACAGGTCGGACCCGCTGATCCCAGCGCTCTTTTCCACCCTAATCGACCCTGCGATCTCGTGATACGCCCCCCGCTGAGGGGGGCGGGCGTCACGTGCCCCCACACCCTCAGCGCCCAATAGGGAGGGCGGACCCGGCCACGTGATGAAGCGCGCGCGAACGGTCAAGAGGGAGGGCGGGGGGGAGGCCCCCCCACCGCTCCCGGCGAGTCACGTGATGCGGCGCCACTCTGCCCCCCCCAACCCCCTCCCGCCGTCGTCACGTGGGCGGGCGCCGCCGGTGGCGCGCGCGGCCCCGACGGCCGTGAGGGGCAGGGGCAGCGGCTGCGGCGGCGCCGGGGCGGGACCGCGGGGGCCGCGCCGCGCCCAGGGGCCGGGGGGAGCCCGCCGGGAGCCCGCCGGGACCTGCCGCGGGCACTGGGTGAGAGCAGCGGGCAGCGCGGGCCGAGCGGTCACCGCGGCGAGGGGCCGCGGGGGTGGCTGTGGCTGTGCCCGTGCGGAGCGGGAGGGAGAGGAGAGGGAGTGGAGAGGGAGAGGGTCCTTCTCGCCTCAGCAGCGCTGCGGTGGGCACCCTCACTCGCGCTCTGTCGCGCCGCCTGCGAGTTCCTCCCCACAGCTCCCTGGGAGCCTCTTCCTGTGTGTCCTTAGCGCAGTACGCGCTTAATGCATTGTGTTCTTACAGCCTTCTGGTGGCTTGTTTGTTTATTCATTTTTGTTTTTCTGTTTCGTGATGCCTCGGTTCATCCTTCGCTGTCGTCGCCGGCTTCCTGAAGGCTGAGATATCCGGCTCGTTGGAAAAACACAAACGCAAAGGAAAAACTCAGTGCTTTCTGTTTCTCCTCACCGGGCTTTATATGAACTGCTAAAGCGTTTCTTCAGGTTTTTAGCGCGCTTCCTCCAAATTAAAGGAATATTTTTTTTTTAAGGAGATTGTAGAGTTCTAATTTAGAAAACTCTTCTCCTAAATTAAATATTGAAGGAATACTTGCCTTTTTTTTTTTAAAAAAAAAAGCAACTCGCAGAGTTCTAATTTAGAAAGTCCAAATGACCCCTTTCAGAAAGCGTGTTGTCCTCTGTTGGCGAAAAGTAAAATGGGCTTTAATCGTTCCAACACACTTTGGGATTACTAAAAGAAGGTGCTAAACATCATAAATGGAAACGTGTGTTTGAAGCACAAAGTTTTTTAGGAAAAACTTGGGAAGATGTTTGAAAGATGTATTCGTTCTTTAGAGCCTTGATATGATTGTTTACCTTTGAATGCTTATCTCTGTATGCATCAGATTGAAATATAGGTATTGCTTTAAAAGATGTCCTCAGTAAATAGCTTTGATAAGTTACAGTAACGGCTCAGCATAAAAAAGAAAAAGCATGTTGTGGTTGTAATTACAGTTTTGTTGTGGTGGGTGGATGCCTGAAATACTATTAAGGGTTGTTTCCTATGGGCAAAACAGCCACGTTTAATAGCGTTCACGTGCGTGGTGCTTTTTGCTTGCTTGTATTTCGCTCAGCTGGTTGCTTAAAGCAGGTCTGGTTGTCAGTCACTTTTTTCCTTCCTTGTATTGCTCATAAAAGGCATCCGAAAATAAATTGTGCAGAGGTTCGAACCCATGGGTTTTGCCATAGAAATCTTGCTTTATGTAAGGTCCAAGGAAAGTAAGTTGAGGCATGTGATTTCAGGGAGTGCGGTATCTTTTTGTTGGCAGGGGGAGAGCCTCAGTAACATCATTTGGTTCACACATCTGATTAATGTTAATAGTATGTATTGTTTCCATGTTCTTTCTCAGTACTGAAATATGAGATTCAAAACAGCAAACAGACTGGAAAAAAACATGGGGAAGATTAGTGGTATGTCTAGGATTTAATTCTCCCTCAGTTGAGGTGTACTTCAAATTAAAAAAGGATTAAGTGTGCCAGTCACTTTGTGTTGTTCTAAAGCCAGATATCCAAGCTTTTGTGTTCTCACTGCTGTCCATAATTCCCATAGACAATTAGGAGAAACGAAGGCCTGAGCCTGCAGTTTCCCTTTGTGCAGGAGTAGGTCTGCCTAGCTGGAATAAACTGCAACACTGGAGCCTGAGGAAAGAGTGAAACAAACAAATGTGCAATTATGTTCAAACAGTCAAAAGGGGATAATCTTTGAGGAGTTAACTATTGGTTTTTTTTTTGCGATGACAATTAGTACTGTGTGCCCTGTAGGATGTTGTGTTAGGCTATTGTTCTCTCCAGCATTGCTTTATTTAGCTGAACTATAAACTCTGTAGAACTTTATCTAAAATCATTTTAACAGAACATTTTGTAAACACTGCCATTTTGGAGGTCTTTTCAAGTCAGGGATCCATGTTTGCCTGCATGCATCACTCAGAGTCAGCTTGCAGGCTTTTTATTTAGAAATCAAATTAGTGAGATGTTAAATGTGTAGGCAGCAGTTGAGTACAGAATTTTTGAGGGGCTTATGTCTCTGAAAGCATGTGACTTGTTTTAATTGTGAGCAGATGTAGATGTCTTTCCCCTAATGCTGGTGACTACTCCGAGGTTAGTTTCTTTTTTTATCACAATATGTGGCCAGTTCAGTTTCTCTCTTTATAAGTCATCCTTTTTTGCTTATTTTTAGCCTTGCTGAAGTTCAAGCAGTCCTCTCTGTTTCTGTTCCTGCTTGGATACCGGGGTTGTTGGATCCTTTTAGAGATGTCAGAGCCGTGAGAAGAGGTGCTGTTGATGTAAACTCCCTCTGCTGGTTAGTTCGGCAGCAGAAATGAAGCTTTGTGGTGTACAATTGTTTACCACTGTATCATGCAGCAGAAATTAACAGTTGAGAAGTGACATACAGTGTTTCTAAAAGCAACTAGAGCACTCAGTTTAAGCTCGGGAGTTTTATGCCTATAAGGCTTTTAATTGCAATCAGCCTAAAAGCTGTGTGTTGATGAGTGACAGATACTCCTTAGAACCACTGCTGCCTTGTTGCATGCAGAATCTAAGCAATAGCTTGAGACCTAATATATTGAGACAGCTATTAGCATGCAGGTTAAAATCACTACTTGGGTTCCATCTGGTACAGTTGCTACTACACTGCACTTAAAAATTTCTCAGTTAAGGTGCAGTCTTTGCACAGTGTGTGCAGGCCCAGGTGGTTATCAGGAAAAGTAAACAACTGTAGGTCTCTTTGACGCACTGCAGGAAGGGTGAGTGAAGGACGCTGGGTGTCTTTCTTCTACTACTTGCAG